GGATGGGTGTGGCAGAGGCAATGTGATTGGCACAGGGTAGAGCAGGGTTTAGGGCTGTTGTACATAGGGTCACTATGAATCGCAAGCGACTCTATGGCACACAGCAACAACAACAACATCATTGCTGCACCTTTCCAGATGGCTTTCTTATCTGATTAAGTTTTAATTTAGCTGCACTACCCCAAATGAGATAACTAAAAACTTCAGTAGCAACAAGTAATGAAAAGATGATAGGGGTTTAAATAAAGCCGGAAAAAATTTCGGTAGAATGGAGCATAGCGATCAGATTTTTTTTTTAAATGAATTTCTGTTTTATTGACTGTGCAAGGCATTTCACTGTATAGATACTAACAAATTAGGAATAACATTGATATTAATAGGAATGTCAGAACAACTTAGAAATGCTTTCCCCCCCACTAGTTTCTTTATAAAAATCGAATACAAATTTAAACAAATTCTTTCAATTTCCCTCACCTATTAAAATGTACAACCCCATGATTCATCTCCCCCTCCCCCTGCTCATCCAGATCTCTCTGCTTCCAGCCTCTCCCCCCTCCTCCCCAGATCCTTATACTCATTCTATAATAACGGTTTTATACAATATTTGTCCTTGTGGGACTGAGTTACTTCACTTAGCATAATGCTTTCCAGTCCCTCCCAAGTTAGGTAATAATTGACAAAGTTATTGCTCCTGCATGCTGCATAGTATTCCATTGTGTGAATCTACCATAATTTCTCAATCCATTCATTTGTGTTTGGACATTTGGGCTGTTTCCATGTTCTTGCGGTGGTGAATAATGCTGTTATGAATATTGGTGTAAAAACTTCAGGTTGTGCCTCAGATGTCATATTCTTAGGGTATATTCCAAGTAATGGAATAGCTAGGTCATATGGAATTTCTATGCTCAGCTTTTTGAGGAAGCGCCAAACTGCCTTCCAGAATGTTTGCACCGTTTTACCATCCCACCAACAATGTGTACGAGTTCCTTTCTCATCACATCCTCTCCAACATCTATTACTTGCTGCCCTGTTGCACTTTTCCACTCTTCCTGGAGTTAGATGGTACCTCATTGTGGTTTTGATTTGCATCTCTCTTATTGCCAGTGGTTTGGAGCATTTCTTCATGTGTTTGAAATTTGAATATTCTTCCTCTGTGAAAATTCTTTCCATGTCTTTTGCCTATATTTTAATTGGGTTATCAGTCTTTTTCTTGTGGAGGCCCAGGAATATTCTGAAACTTTTGTTATAAGACTCTTGTCTGAGATGGTATTACCAAATGTTTGTTCCCAGTCTGTAGGTTTTCCTTTCACCCTACTGGAAAAAGTTTTTGATGCACACATGAGTTTAATCTTTAGACGATCCCATGCATTAACTTTATCCTCTTTAGATTGTGCATTTCCAGTTGCATTTGGCAGTCTCATAATACCTTGGGCTAGCACTTCTAAGCTTGATCCCAGTTTGCCTCTTCTGAACATTATGGTTTGGGGCTTTACTCCCAAAATGAGCAATGCTTTTGTAATTATTATTACCTAACTTGGGAGGGACTGAAGAATATTATGCTGAGTGACCTAACTCAGTCACACAAGGATAAATACTGTATAAAAATCATTATTGTAGAATGAGCATAAGGATCCAAGCCGGGGAGGAGAAGCGGGAAGCAGAGGGATGTGTATGTGCAGGGCGGGGGAGGATTAACCAGGGGGCTGTAGAATTTGATGGTGGCAGGGTGAGGGAAATTGAAAGAATTTGTTCTTAAAAACAATGTATTTGAATTTCGTAAATAAACTAGTAGAAAAAAATTCAGTAATTTGTGAACTGGTGACTCTGATTCTGACTCATAATGACTCCATGTGTTTAGGGTAGGACTACCCAGATTTTCCCGTTGCTCTGGAACCGTGCACCTTTGGGTTGGCAGCACAATCCCTTACCAATAAGCCACCAGACCTCCTTAGAGGTAAATCAGCAGAGATTTTTATCTAGGATTCTTCTCAATGCTTTCAGAGTACCACCTTTCTGTTCAGTAGTCAGGCAAGTAATTGTTCATACCACATAGTAATCAAATAGTTTCACGTAGAACCACAGTGACTGACATCCAGAAAAGTCTCAATCAGCACGTCCGCTGGTTTAAATGGATTATGTTGATCAGAAATAATGAAAGAACCAGTTGGTGTTAATAGCTTCCCTTTGCACAATCCCTTAGGGCTGTTTTCTTTCTTTAAGTACTCAATTCATTCTTTGATTTAGTGGAATATCTGTACTCACGCATAAGCACCTCTACAAAAACGTGAGCTTCTTATGGGAGAGTCCTGTCTCTTTCGCATTTCAACATTCTATGGAGTCTCTGAATAGTTGTTTCCTTGTGGAATAGTCATAGATCAAAAGAATAAAGATTCATTTGTTCTCATTTGAATTGTCCCTTTCTAATGTCTTTCAGAAATTTGGTACAACTGTATCCTCAAAATGAAGATGACACAGAAATTTCAAAGATGCTTAAGACTCAGTGGACTTCTCTGGGCCTAGAAGATGTACAATTTGTAAATTACTCTGTGCTACTCAGTCTGCCAAGCCCTTCTCCCAACACTGTGACTCTAAGCAACGGCAGCCAATGCTTTCATCCTGATGGCCAGCCGTGTGGTGAAGGAGCCAGAAAAGACAGCAGCCAAGACCGGCTCTACTCATACGCGGCCTATTCTGCCAAAGGAACTCTCGAGGTAATATGACCATTTGTCTCTGTCATTTACAGTGAAATGGAATTAGAAAGCAACAGCTTTCATCTAAATTGAACTAACTGGCAAGATGCAACATACAAAAGTGCACTTTAAATATTCTCAGTGTGGAGGTGCTGGGAAAGGAAAAAAAGGAAACTTGAATTGCCTGACCATGACTTATCAAAATTTGAAGTGAAAACATGTTAGGAGGATTTAATTTAAAGGTGTTGAGTGTGTGACTGAGTCATTCAAGTTTTGCTTTATCCTTTCTTGCAAGTTCATGTCAGTCTGTGGTTCTAGAGAGGCAAATTTTCCTTCACTGATGTGCTTCAGAAGAGTAAAAGTGAAGAGTGCGGTGGTTTGGAGTTTTTAGATTGTGAATGCACAGAAGAAATGAAACGAAACCTTGAGGTTATGATTCATGCATTCAGGTTGGAAACACATGGACTGGGCGGCCAGGTGTGGATTCATTCTCTACTTTTTCCAGGAGGATTTTGGCTTTTGTTAAGGGATCTAATTTGGTTTTTCATAGACTCTGAGACCACCATGATTAGCTTTTATTTGGAGCTCCCTCTCTCAAAAGCTGTCACTTTCCCATCTAGAACTTGTCTCCTCTCTATAATAAGGCTCAAAGTAGTTTTAGTATATAGGGTTGTTGTGAGAATTGCTGCAATTCCAAAGGCACATGGTTCAAATCCACCAGCTCCTTCACAGAAAGATGGGCAAGTTCCTCCCATGTAATTAACAGCCTCTGAAAACCGGTTGGAGAGGCAGCTCGGAGTCAGCTCTAACTGGATGGCACATAGTGACAACAACAATGATGTATGTAAAACTCAGAAGACAGAGGTCAACTCATGGTGAGAGAAGTTGGACATAATGGTGTATAATTGGACTGCAACTTCAGATATGGATTTATCTTCTGCCTCATTGCATATAATTTTATTAAGCAGATTTTTATAAAACTTTTTTATCTCAGTGTACATTAAATAATATATCTGATGTTTGCTGATTCCTGTTGTAATTTTTAAAACTCCATATTATACTACCTATTATTAATATACAAAATAACTAAAATGGCTTAAAAGTTATTTTAGAATTAGTAGAATTAGTAATTCTAAAATAACAATGCATATTTTTTCCTAATATGTTAATTTCCTTGTTTAATTCTTTTTCAGGGAAGGGACAACTTTTTGAGTAATCCAACATTGTATTATAATCTGACTTTCTGCACATAAATAGTTTTAACCAATAATTATGTTGATCAGTCTTCAATACCTAAACATTAATGTAATATTAAATGTCTGCCATAGTTCTAGTTTAAGATTAATATAATTTATATTATTTACTTTTATTAATATACACCATTCCCGGTAGGAAGTGTAGGTAACACACCTGTGTTTTAATGAAAACTAGAGGAAGGAGCAATGTCTTAGCTCAGAAACTCTGACTTTAAGCCAAGATTCTAAAGTTGCTCTACAGATTTCTTTCAAATGTCTAGTCTTGCACGAGCCCCACTTATTTCCCCTCCTGTATTTTTACCAGTTGGCTCATGGCCAGCGAGATAATCTTCCCTAATGAATAGAATATACAAAACACTGAAGAGAAGAGCAGTAACAAAACCACCAGAAGGTTGTAGTAGTCCTTACAGCCTCTCCATCATTTGAGGTTTCTGCTTCATTTGGGGAGAAATATCCTTGACTGAGGTGCTGTGGAAAAGTTGGGGAGTTAATGCAGGGGTCTCAGTTTTCCCAGCATGGCCCTCTTCATTGATCTGGTATTCCTCTTAGGTTAAATTTGTTGTTGTCATGTTTGTGTACTATCAAATCAGAACCAACCCCTTGCTGAGCTTCTGGTGGGTTTTCAGAGTCAGGAATCACACTGGAGGGAATTGCCCATCCTTTTCCCACGGAGCAGCTGGTGCATTAGAACCTTGTGCCTTTGGTGTTGCAGTGCAGCTTCTTGCCACTAAACCAGCAAAGCTTCCTAGATTAAATGTTGTTGTTGCTGTTGTTGTTGTTGTTAGGTTCTGTTAAGGCGCCTGTGACTCATAGCTACCCTGTGCACAATAGCCCTAAACATTGCTTTATCCTGTGCCAACCTTATTGTCTCTGACACACTGACCCCCATTACACAAGTCACTGAATCAAACAATCTCTTTGAGGGTCTTCCTCTTCTGCGCTGTCCCTCTACTCTCCCAAGCATGATGTCCCTCTCCAAGGACTGGTCCTTGCTTGCAACATGTCCAAAGTGTGTCAGACAAGCTTCAGAGTCCTTGCCTCCAAGGAGCATTCTGACTTCACCCTCTCTAGGATGAACCTGTTTGTTCTCTTAGCAGTCCATGATATTTTCAATACTCTTGTCTAGCACCACAGCTCAGAGGAATCGGGACTAAATAAATTTCACATAAGAACATACTACGTTAAGGAAAGTCCTTATTTTCATAGTGTAGTCACCCAGTTGTGCACTCATTTAGGAAAAATATATTGTAGTTCTTTGCAATATACTTTGGTTTCAAGGCTCTTAGAAAACTGTACACTTATTGGCTTGCTTGCCAAGATGGTGATTTGTTAACTACAAAAAGTTGGATTTGTATGCTCTTCTTTATACATGGGACTTTCCTCATAACAATGAGAATGAATGGGTGGTTCACTGGCCACCTATTTGCTTGGCTAAAAAGGAATATTGGCAGAGCATGCATGCTGGCAAAGTGGTTGGTTGTTTTTGTTTTCATCTGGGTGCTACCAGTTTGTGAGTCACGCTGCCAATATGCCCACATGCTCATGAAAATGGTGTGTAGGGATTGTGAAGATCAAAGCCAGCAGAAAAGGCGTTTGGAAGAATGTCTTTGACTACACCTTTCCAGCAGTGGGTGAACTTATTTATCGACAGTGTTTCTGCTAGTTTGTAATACAGCAAAACAAAGCTTATGTTTGCTTTCTTATCATCTCTTAAAGACATTGCAAAATCAAAACAATTAAAAAGAATATGGTCAGCACAGAGATAGTGGTGTCTAACATCACAAGGAAGAGAAATCTTTAACCAGGGCACAGGCTACTGCTATGAAGTCAGACATGCTGACCTGCTCCCAGACCTTCTGTCAACCTTAACACCGACTGCTCCTTCCACAGCCCTCACTAGTCCATTTCTTTGTTCTCTAATTCATTAAAATGGCCACACAAAACTCATACACAATGCTTAAGATAAAGGAATTCCTTAGGGCAGTAACGGGTTATAACTCAGGTCAGAAATGCTCAGGATACAGAATCAGTACAGCTTCTTGTCAGATGTGCTCACAGGTGGATAGGTATTCCTGTGCCCATCTGCCTGGAGTCTGAAGCCTGCCTCATACCTTTGGGACTGCGTTGTGTAACTCTCTATATCGTGCATTGTGTGCACTCTCCCTCAGCCACCGCTACACGTAAACACACTGCTTGGAGGCCTCTGACTCCGGGGAACACCAGTTCTGGGTTACCTCTGCCTCACAAGTTTCTGGTTCCGTCACCTCTGCTGCTGCTCCTGCTGCTGCGTCTGGGCGTTGCTGTCTTACGCAGGAATCTGTCACACGAAACATGTGCTGAACCGTCTATTCCTTCTTTGTTTTTCTTCTCCTTTTAAAACAAAACATGTGAATGCAATTTTGCAATGCAATATAGTGTTTTAACTACTCATGTACATTTTGTTTCATAAGATTAATTTCAGTACCTATAACTTAATTACATTTCTGATTTTCTCTTAGCAATTCTGATTTCCATTGATCCTCACAACCTCTCTGTGCCTTCCTCAACTCCTTACTGTAAATTACCTTCACCTTCACACATTTTAAATGTTCAAAAAACACCCCCAACCCGATGGATTGGCATGGTGACTTCAGCAATGGGCTCTTGTGTTTCAGAAATGAAGAGGAAGAACAGGACAGGTCAAGGTGCAGGTCACCTGTTCATAGGGTCTCTATGGTCATAGAGTCAGAGTGTATTCAAGCTAATGGCACCTAACAACAACATCTATTTAGACCCTTAAGTATTTTCTTTTTAAATAAAATTTGTGCTTTATACTGGTTTACTTACAAAGTTCACATATATTGTTTTTGGACACCGGGTCTTTCCTTTACGGCACCTCTCCCTCCAGTGATCAAATTGTGTTACTCTATGATTAAGACCCCCGCCCAAGTAATGTTTATTCCCTCTTCCCGTGCCTGCTAATTACTCAGGAACATTTCCTTCTATTTCTTCTTCCTTGGTGTTAGTGAGAGTCCCTTTTCCTGCTGCTGAACATGCTCAATTTAAGCCTGACAGGTTGATAAAAAGTAACAATTCTTTGGCTGATCATCCTCGTGTTTTATTTGAATGTTCCAACTCAGAAGGTCCCTGTTTACATCATGAGCAAAACACTCGATTCCTTTGACAGAGTCACACACACACACAAAAACAAAAACACCCCCAAACCCCCAAAAAACAAAACAAAACTATGTTTGTATAGTTTTACCAAGTTTTATGACAAAACTAAAAGCCAATGGCTGGGAAAGCCACACTAGACAATCCAAAACAGCACAGAATGAGAAAAGTGTTAATCACACCCTCTTTCCAGAATGGTGTTCTGGGGCCTGTTACACTAATCTGCTATTTACCTCATCTTCTCCTTCCTCTGCAGTTAGGAATCATCCCTTAAGTGCTCTGTGTCCAGCACGTAGTAGGAGATTTTATTCTATATAGTGCTAATTGCTAGCATTTGCACACTGGTTACAACTTCTAAAAATGTACACCAAGGCACGATTTTCACAAAAGCAATTGAAATTTATACAAGTTTAAGTTTTTTAAAGATCAAATTATATGTTGTTGTTGTAGTTGTTATGTGCTGTCATCACCTACAACTCATAGCAACCCTGTGTACAACAGCCCTAAACTCTGCTCTATCCTGTGCCAATTTTATCGTCTCTGATATACCTACCCCCATTACTTCAGTCAATGAGTCAATTTATCTCATCAAGGGTCTTCCTCTCCTGTGCT